CTAATTTTTGCGGGCCCCTCCTCCATTCCAATGGCTAGAATGCCGTTAGACATTAAAAAGACAGAAGCTCGAAATAAAGAAAATTGGCCTTGATATGTTACTAGAATTCAAAAGAATGTACTACGAGAAAAAACAAAATAAGATCAAGCCAAAATATAATATGCTTTAGTTTTTTATTAATGTAATTTATTAAATTTTAATGTACTTTTTTATTGAATGTATTTTTTGATTAATGAATTATTGCGGTTTAAATTTAATTAATTAATAAAATCTTATTAATTTAATTTTATTTACTAAATGTGTATAAAAAAATAAAAAAAGGGAGGTTTGATGCTTTGGGCTTCAAATCTATTTCTAGTGAAACTGTGAAATAAGTTAAAAGTATGTTAAGCTGATGTACCAGAGAGAAAATTTGAAGTCGAGGTTTGAAGCCCCAAACATCTAATGTATTTCAAGTGCTCTTACTATTAGAATTGGCAAAATAGAACCGGAACTGATAACTCGAACCAAATTATCCGAAACCAAAACCAAAATGATTTGAAAAATGAAGATCCGATCTAAAACCAAAAATCTAAAATGATCCAAATCGAACTGAAACCGAAGTAAATAATTCATATCCGATTTAAATCTGAAACTGATTAGATCTGAAACTGATCATATCCGACCCGATTAAACCCAAAACTATAAAACTTGAAACCGATTAGATCCGAAATCGATTAGAATTAAAACTGATAAAATTCAAAACTGTGTTTGTCTTTCAATAAGCATATTATATTTTTAAATTTTTACTTTTATTTTACCATATGAACTAATTATATTAATTGCTCATTCTTTCATAAAATGGATTACCATCTTTATAAAAAAATTTTACAAAATCTCATGTATTAAATTTATTATATTTTGAAATTCAACAAAAGTTATAATATAAAATATGTGATGAATGAAGTGAGCCAAATAGTACTAAATCAGTAGACATATTTCCAAAGTAGGAGTCCATAACTTAAATACCCAAAAATAGGAGTTGCAAATCTCCTCTTTGATTTGATTTTGGCCGATACTTTTGTTTCCTTCCAGCCAATCTCTTTTGTTTCTTTGAGATGGCCACAATTGGCTAAAGTTTTCTTCCCTTTCGATCTCCTTTGCTGACACATTCTCGATGTTATTGTCATTTCCGTTAGCACTTTCACTGTGGCCGCCGTCACTGTCACCCATCCCGCCGCCATTGCCATTGTTGCCACCGACATAATCGTTGCTAACAATGCCGCAACTCACAGTAGCGCCCATACCTCCACTTTCCCCACCAACAACGCCCCTTCCGCCACTTGCAGCACCCTTGTTGTGGCTGTCGCTGCTACTATTGCTGCCACCGGCAGTGCCCTTACCTTTACTCTGCAGCTCCCATACCGCCACTGTCCACGTCCATACCCCTACCACCACTGCCATTAGATATTCATACAGTGTCAAACAATTACTATATGGAAAATATAACACATAATGAGACACTTGAAACTGCATAATGGTATCCATCTTAATGTATAGAGTCACACACGTGAATGGATAAAGCATAATGCAAAGCATAATAATGCATCATGCAATGCATGGCAATGCATCATGGCAAATATGTCAATGTATAATGTCATTGTTGTCCCTGTTTTGTTCTATAGTTTACTTAGTCTTATATATTGCATATTGCAATCAGGGGAGTAAAAATCTTCTAGGTTATGAATGGTCACTTCTTCCAAATAGACAACTAGTTTAAAATTTTATATTTGTTAGAGGTTGTAGTATAGTAGTAACCAAAACATATAAGAAGGTCTTGATTAGTTATGTTATTTTTTGGAAATTGATAGACAACTTTTAAAGCCTTCTTAAAACTCATTCTTGATTTCAAACTAATGCTAGAAAATGCACAATATATGCACTATAAATAACTACTTGAGAATTTTTGCTAGAGGATATTCTATAATAGTAACGAAAACATATAAAAAGGCCTTGATTAGTTATGTTGTTTTTTTGGAATTGATAGACAACCTTTAAATCCTTCTTAAATCTCATTCTTGATTCCAAACTAATGCTAGAAAATGCACAATATATGCCATAAATAACTACTTGAGAAACTGAGCATTAGGCAATGAATTACTAATTTATAACCCTTAGCTACTGGACAAATGAATGAACAATCTCAGCAAATCAAAGAGAAGTGAAACTATTATAATCAATATGTATGACAAATGGTAAACCAAAGACCATGCCTTATAGTCAATTAGTGCAGAACACATGAATCTCATTAATTCCTCCTATGCCCTTATGTTCAAGCAAAATGAGTGGGCAGGAGAAAGGAGATTTATTGGGTGAGTCAACCACTCCTATTTTAGGGGGTTTATGTTTCCACTCCTATTTTGAGTTTTAATCAATGTTTTACTCTTATTTTGCTCCTTAACCCTTTTGTTATTAACAAAATTAAAGGTAATAAAATATTGAAAAACACGTTGAAACACGAGTTGAAAGAAATTATGACTGAGAGTTGAAGGTGAGTGGGAATAAGAAAATTGAGAAATAGACTGAATGGTGGCATGAGAAAAGTGATAAGAATAAGAATTGAAAGTGTAAAAGAATGGGGGAGAACGTTAAATTTTAGGGGGGGAGATTAGACATGAAAACTTATGTCATTGATTAGATATTATGTTAAAAAAAATAATACTAATTTCAATTCTTAGTTACAAAATCTAATTAAAATAGTCTTATTTTGAAAAAAAATCCTTTCATCTTAGAAAGAATACTACATAACGCAAAATAAAGAAAAATTTTAAGTTTTTTAAATTTATTTTATTTAAGATTAATATTGAAATAATATTTTTTACATATTTAAAAAAATACGTCAAAAGTTTTACAAAATAAGAGATTACAAGAATAATAGTTTATTTTATCAAATAATCAATGAAACCGCATAAATAAATAAAATTTTCATAATTTTTAAATAGTGAAGTGTGATATTCTTTTTGGGACGGAAGGATTATATGATGAATTGCATGGAAAACCAGATTTTATCCTAATTTCATCCAATTACAATACATTTTATTGGTTGGGAGTTAATTTGATTAGTTTCAAACTAATTCACTTATTATTACTCAATAACGTTAGAAGTTAGCATTAATGTTTTGGAAAGGTTCTCTAGCAGCAACACTTAGTATTATCATTTTCAAATTTGATCTACATCATCCAATTTAGGTGTAAAATTAATTATATTTGACTCTATTAAAATTAATTTTATCTACTTTCAACCAAATACACTCAAATAATTTATAAAATTTGCACTCAATTATATTAATCTCATTCGATTCCAATATTCCATCAATTTTTAGGAGAAATATTAAATAAAATTCACTTAATTTCAGTTAATTTTATCTTTTATCTTTGCATTTATAAAAATAAAGATATTAGTAGATATGATAAAAATTTGATATATCAAAACTAAATTTTAAAATCAATTTAATTATATTAATTTTATATCATAATTAAATACTTCTTCCGCCCCAAAATGTTTGCTAGATTTACTTATTTTAATAGTCGCGAGAACTTTTGTTTATTTGTACGTTTTCATTAATTATTTGATAAAATAAAATATTGTTGACACTTGACATCTCTTATTTCAAAGAATTTCTCATGTACCTTTTAAATACGTAAATTTTATTTTTTATTTCTATACCAATACTTAAATAAAATTAATTCAAAAAATTTGATATTTTGTCTCGTTTTTTGAAATGTGAAAAACATTTAGGGACGGAGGGAGTATATATATTTTTTCATAATTTGTAGTCCAAACTAGTAAAATATGACTAAAAAGTCAAAAAAAAGATTATTTAGGGTGGAGATTGTATAATTAGAAAAAATACAAAATAATATGAGATTTTTAATTAAAAAAAGATTGATAACTATGATAAAATAAAAAAAGAAACATGGATAATTAAATTTCAATTAGAAAATAATATATATTCAAAATATATTCGATTGAAATATATCAGAACTGAAACATATCCGAAATTGAAATATATCTGATCCAAGTTTTACCTGAACCGAGATCTATCCAAACCGATTAATATCCGAACCGTATCTGAACCGACTCGAAACTGAATCGAAACAGAAAAATGTATAGAACCGAATCAAATCCGAACTCAAATTAAACCGATCTGAACTGAACCAAACCGATTATATCATATATCCAAAAGATATCTGAACTGATAAAATCCAATCCAGAACCAATTATCATCCCGTTTACTACTAATAGAGTCAAACTTTATCCAATTGGCTTATTTTCGTTACTCATTTGATAAAATAATAGTCATGTCACCTTTAGTTAATATGTAATTTTTATCTTTTAATTTCACACTATTTTTATATAAAATGATTTAAAAATAACTTTAGTCAAACATTGTAACGCGCAACGAGAATATAATTTTTGGACGGAGGTAGTATTAAAAAATCTATTATTAAATCATAGTATCAAAGTTCTATACATTTTGATAAAGATATTTTAAATTTAATATATAATATTTTCTAAAGTTATTTTTTTAAATTTATTTTTAAAATTAATTTATACTATTAATTTTAGTCAAATATTCAAATATACTTGTAGTAAGCTGGCGAATTGGCGCATGTATACCTTTACTTGTAGTGAGAAAAATATGAAACAAGTAAAATCTGATATGGCACTGATGTGGTGGAGAGAGATGATGCAGTAAAAGATATGAAAGATATGTATACCTTACACCCTAACGAGGGATGTAATTAAATTTTTAAAAAATCAATCAATTAAATTGCTCCTGCCTTCTGAAAATGATGTTCTCATTTAATTTTTTTTTAGTCAAAGTTTGTAAATTTTAAATTCGATATTGCATTTTCGATATAAATGTTATATCAATAGTTTTTTAAATTGAAAGATCACCTATATGTTTAATGATTAATGAAATAGTTACCAAATTAACCAATTAATGAAATAGTGGATCCCAACCACCAACCCCGCCATCCTGGGAAGACAGTACCTCATATACCTCAGTTATATATACCCACTCCCTCTCCTACAAAATTTGCGTTCGCCCCTTCTCTTCTCTTCTCGCCCAAAGCCGAAGAAAAAGTCAGACCTCTCTCAACTCTTCTCCGGCCTTTTCTACCTCCTAAAGGTACGCTCTCTCTCTGGCTCTCTCTGAGCTCTATCTCCGCCATTGGTTTTTCTTCACCGTACTCTTTTTTTTCGCATTTAAGAACAACTCCACAATTGATTGACTATGTATTGTTTCTTTCATTTCTTGTATTAGCCTTTAACACTTGTTTGCTTTGTTTTTTTCCATCGATCGAGATCTGATCTGATCTGTGTAGGTGAGGAACTATCTGTTTGACATTATATGACCAGCTTTGGTTTTAATGAATGGCGATTTATAATTGAACGTTAGATCTGAGACGCAATAAATGAATTGTGGATTGTGATGTCATAGATCTTGATTGAGTTTTGTTTTCTGAGCGTTCCTGATGTATCAGCAGATTGTGGAGACTGATGATTGTCGTTTGTTTGCATTCATTTCTACCGGAACCTTTGGAATTTATAGATCTATCTGGTTCAATGAATGATTCGTAATACTCATGCTTCATTTAGTGATGAAACTCCCCTGATTGGTATCCAGCTGCATTTCAATTGATTTGCATCCACACTATTCAATACTAATAATGAATCATATGAATAAAAATGATCTGCTTATACCAAGGGAAATGATGCATTTTAGCTTTGAGGTTGACTCTGTTTTTTTGGAAACAATCTTGTTAACCTTTTCATTGATTGATAAATTATGCTGATTGAATCTATTGGACCAATCAGAGAAAAATGGCTTCTCACATTGTTGGATACCCTCGTATGGGGCCAAAGAGAGAGCTTAAATTTGCTCTTGAATCTTTCTGGGACGGGAAGAGTAGTGCAGGCGATTTGCAGAAGGTGGCAACTGACCTCAGGGCTTCCATCTGGAAACAGATGGCTGATGCCGGGATCAAGTACATCCCCAGCAACACCTTCTCTTACTATGATCAGGTGCTCGACACCACTGCTATGCTTGGTGCCGTCCCAACCAGGTACAGCTGGACTGGCGGTGAAATTGGACATGACACCTACTTCTCAATGGCCAGAGGAAATGCCTCTGTCCCTGCCATGGAAATGACCAAGTGGTTTGATACAAACTACCACTTCATTGTCCCCGAGTTGGGCCCTGATGTGAAATTCTCTTATGCTTCCCACAAGGCAGTGAATGAGTATAAGGAGGCTAAATCTGTACGTGATCTGCAAATTTGGTTATCTTGGATTCTAATGGTCCTTTTCTTTTTTTAAAATTTGAAATTTGACTGCATTTTACTTTTGATTATGTGCAGCTGGGAGTAGATACCGTTCCTGTTCTTATTGGCCCAGTCTCTTACTTGTTGCTATCAAAGCCTGCTAAGGGCGTTGAGAAATCTTTCCCACTTTTGTCCCTTCTTGACAAGATCCTTCCAATCTACAAGTATGATATCAGTGTGATTGTTATTATTATTAAGATTATTATTATTATTATTATTATTCTTGTTGTTATGATGATTATGATTATTATTATATATTTTTGTCAGTGTATTTGTCTAGTTTGACTTTTTGCATTCAAATAGGACACTTTTATTATCAATTAAATAGAAATTGCATTACTTATTGGTACAAAGATAATTCAAATTTATCTAGTAAAATATTTTTAGAATTTATTAGTTTTATTAATACACATTGTTATTTTTATTTAACTGATTGATAAATGTTCCTCGTGTTTGATTGCAAAATGTCAAACTAGACAAGTGGTATGAAGGGAGTAATCACTATGAACACATTTACTTGGAACCATTTTCACGGTAAACATTTTTAATATCAATGCAGGGAAGTTATTTCTGAATTGAAGGATGCTGGAGCCTCTTGGATCCAGTTTGATGAGCCCAACCTAGTGATGGATCTTGAGGCCCACCAATTGGAATCTTACACTAAAGCATACTCTGAACTGGAGTCTACTCTGTCTGGCCTTAATGTTCTTGTTGAGACTTACTTTGCTGATGTCCCTGCTGAAGCATTTAAAACCCTAACTGCTTTGAAGGGAGTCACTGCTTTTGGGTTTGACTTGATCCGTGGATCTAAGACTCTTGACTTGATTAAGGGTGGATTCCCTTCAGGAAAATTTTTGTTTGCCGGAGTTGTTGATGGTAGAAATATCTGGGCAAATGATCTTGCTGCATCACTTAGCCTTCTGGAAGCTCTTGAGGGCATTGTTGGCAAAGGTTTTTTTTTTTGAAAATTATCCTTTTGGCTATTATAGTTTCTGTATGAACAAAGTTTAATCAATCGGTTTCTGGTTTTGTTTTCCAGACAAACTTGTTGTGTCTACCTCATGCTCCCTTCTCCACACTGCTGTCGATCTCATTAATGAGACCAAACTGGATGATGAAATCAAATCTTGGCTTGCATTTGCTGCTCAAAAGGTTGTTGAAGTGAATGCTTTAGCAAAGGCTTTTGCTGGTCAAAAAGATGAGGTACACTATCACTAATAGCTCACAACCTATTAACCTCTTGCAATGTGCTAGCAGCTGATATTTTTATAAAAAAGGTCAAAATGATTACTTTAATCAAAATTAATTAAATAAACACTTTAGCCTTCATTTGAAATATCATTCTTTTAATTTATTTTAAATAAATAATCCAGCAAATTCATTCAGTCACTTCAGCCATTTTAGGCCTTACCGAACAAACTAAAGAAACCAAGAAGGAAATTAGTTGAGCAATTGTAAAATATGAGCATGATAAAACATCCTTCGAGCTATACTAACTGTTCTGAATCCAATCAGCAGCTTGTTATTCATTATTTATCTTAACTGGTTTAACTTTAGTTAATGACTCTATTTCCAGGCATTCTTCTCTGCTAATGCTGCTGCCCAGGCATCGAGAAAATCATCTCCTAGAGTAACAAATGAAGCTGTTCAAAAGGCTGTAAGTAATGAATTGAATTTCCTCTTCTTTTTGTCATCCCTAGTATCACACCCCGTGCGTTGCACGATTCGTATTAACGTTATAAATTTATATTGGTATTATTAAAAAAGTAAATAAGTACACCATATAATGAAATATAATGTTTTTCAATTGTGTAATACATAAATTATCTCCACCACATCTTCCTATTCTGAAAAGAAGGGGAAGATACATAAATTAGCTACACCATACTCGACATGTGCTCATCGTTTTCCCGCCCAAGCGACTTCTTAAATACGGTTTAAGATATTAAAATGGCGAGTGTTATAAAAAAAGAAAATGATTGAATTTTGATATTATTATTTTTATTAAAAATCAAAGGAGGTTAGATTTATTTTTCTTGAAATGCTGATTTCATAACCTTTTAAAGCATAGAAATAAAAAGAGGAAAGATTTAGAACAAGAGGAATGTTTGAGTTTTATTAATAACTTTAATGCGTAAGCAATTAACATGGTGCAAATAAAATACATAAGATTAAAATTTTAAAACTTTCATTATTAAGCACAAAAATACTCACGGTTTCTTGCAATATTTTTTTATATTTCTTTGCTTACTACTCATTTTTTGTGTATAGATTTTTACCATTATAACAAATTTTAATGATGTCGCATAATTATCTTACATTTTTTCAAAAATTTTACATATTTAACTTTTTTATTCGTAATATTGACACTAAGTCATAGAAATTATTTAAAATTTCAAAAAAATTAATGAAACTCATAGCCCGTTGGGTCAACTTGAACCCGATAACACTGGGTCATGAACATGTAGTTATCAACCCGAACCCAAACTTATCCGAACCCGAAGTAACCCGAACCCAAGGTGACCAAACCCGAATCCAACCTGACTGACCAGTTTGCCAGGTCTACTCGACGTATGATACAAATAAAAAATGATTCGAGAAGGGGCCTTTTCGTTTAACATGCTAATAACTTCCAAAATTCTATGACTTCTTTGTTTGGTAATTCTTTTGTTTCTTAGGGCCTGTTTGGGAATAGCGTTAGAGATTAGCATTAGCATTTTGGATAAAATTTTAACGTTGCAGATTACTTTGAAAACGCTAATGCTAAATGCTGTCCGTAGATAGCCTTTCAAAACGCTAACACTAATCACTAACGCTATTCCCATACATACCCTTAATATGTTAAATATGTTTTTTCATGCATAAAAAATCCCCTTCAATTTTCGGGCATTAAGTATGTACAGATTTTATAAAGTTAATTTCTTTTTTTAAATAGTTAAAATCGTATCATTTATATACACAATGTTTTCCTTTTATAAAACCATATTATTTATATACACCGCATTAAATTACACATGAATCTTATAAGGTATTTTCCTTTTATAGAATGAAATAAAGCCATATTTGCATGTTGCTTAATTATAATTACCGTAGATTAAAAATATAGATCAAAATCGATGGTCCATAAACGATAGCGTTTGGGCGGGAAAAAGCATGGGGCATAATTCCCCTGCTTTTAAGAATAGGATTGGAAGTACTCCGTAGTTGACCAAAATTTACTATGTTTGTTCATTCATAGGCTGCAGCGTTGAAGGGCTCTGACCACCGCCGTGCTACAAATGTTAGTGCTAGACTTGATGCTCAACAAAAGAAACTTGATCTTCCCGTTCTTCCAACCACCACCATTGGTTCATTTCCTCAGACAGTGGAACTTAGAAGAGTTCGTCGTGAATTCAAGGGCAACAAGTGAGCAGTTTACTGGTTTTCCATAGAAACTGGTTGAAGAGCTACTTGAACCTGTTTTCTAATTGTCTATTTTTTCTAGGATTTCTGAGGATGACTATGTTACGGCCATCAAAGAAGAAATCAGCAAGGTGGTTAAGCTGCAGGAAGAGCTGGATATTGATGTTCTTGTTCATGGAGAACCTGAGGTAAGCTAGGCTTTGTATGGTTAAATGCGAAATATATTTTAGATTGTCTGGAGGTGTTCACCATGGTTTGAATGTTGAATATACAGAGGAATGATATGGTAGAGTATTTTGGGGAGCAACTTTCTGGGTTTGCCTTTACAGCAAACGGATGGGTCCAATCTTATGGGTCTCGTTGTGTGAAGCCACCAATCATCTATGGTGATGTCAGCAGGCCTAAAGCAATGACTGTCTTCTGGTCCAGCATAGCTCAGAGCATGACCAAGCGCCCAATGAAGGGAATGCTCACTGGCCCAGTCACCATTCTCAATTGGTCTTTTGTCCGAAATGACCAGCCAAGGTAGCAAAAAGGAAGGAAAAAAATCTTTCATTCTTTTTCATTCCTTTCCTAATGAATCCAGTTTTTTTATTTTGTTGTTTTGGCGTGTTCCCCAGATTTGAAACTTGCTACCAGATTGCTTTGGCAATTAAGGATGAAGTAGAGGATTTGGAGAAGGCTGGAATCACTGTTATCCAAATCGATGAAGCTGCTCTGAGAGAGGGATTGCCTCTTAGGAAGGCCGAGCATTCGTTCTATTTGAACTGGGCTGTTCACTCTTTCAGAATCACCAATTGTGGCGTCCAAGATACCACTCAGGTGCCCTTTCTAATATTCCTAACCCTGTAACTTTAGGGCAATGTTTGAAACCTAAAAAATGGCAGGAAAGAAAAAATGCCGAAGAAAATACTTTTACTTTTCTTTTCTTACCTTCGTTTTTTTGTGCCCAACAGATTCACACCCACATGTGCTACTCGAACTTCAATGATATCATCCACTCCATCATTGACATGGACGCGGATGTGATCACAATTGAGAACTCCCGCTCCGACGAGAAGCTCCTCTCAGTTTTCCGTGAGGGGGTGAAGTATGGGGCAGGAATTGGGCCGGGTGTGTATGACATCCACTCTCCAAGAATACCCACCACTGAGGAGATTGCAGACAGAATCAACAAGATGCTCGCCGTTCTTGACACCAACATCTTGTGGGTCAACCCGGATTGTGGCCTGAAGACCCGCAAGTATACTGAGGTCAAGCCAGCTCTTGAAAACATGGTTTCTGCTGCCAAACAGATCCGCACTCAACTTGCCAGTGCCAAGTGAGACTGTGAGAGAGAGCCTCCAGTATTTATTTGTATGTCTTTGCCGTAACACACGTGTTTGGGATGAAAATTTAATGTCTGTGTGTCTGTCTGTCTAGGTTTAGCGTCTTTCCGGCTCTTTTTATTCTCTGTTCTTTGGTTTTCGTTTTGGCTTTGTTTCCAACATTTACCCTTCTGAAAAGAAGTTATATCCTGTAGTTTTTACGGTTTGTAGCCTAAATGTATTTTTTGGCCACAAAACTCATTTCGTTACCCTAAGCATTACAAAAATGATGATACCCTCAGTTTATTGTTCGAACCCATCTTGTTCAAATTTTAATTACTTTGTACGTGTTTTCTTTTGAACCAGCAAACTTCATTTTTGTCTTTACAACTTGTCAAAAAAATAATATACAGCATCGTATGCTTTCTTAAGTGTTGGAGGTGTTGGAATAGGTTAGTTGGATAACTAGATATTTTAGATATTTTGTTATGATTGGTTATATTAGTTGTGGTTGTTATGGTGGTTATCTCTTTTTTTTCCCTATCTCTTATATACTTCATCTATTGTAATCAGTTCCTCCCCCAGCTAATGAAGAGAAGCATTGTCTTAATTCTCATCTTCCTTCTACTGTTTTCCTCCATGGATTTGGAAATCCAACATGGTATCAGAGCAGGAAGTTGAACGATTTTGTTGGTTCTTTGATCTTGCTAATAACTTCTTTTCCAGTTCTTTGCCTTCTTCTTTTGATTTTGTGGATTCATCTTCCTTCTTCGATTATGGCGTCGAATACAAACAATTCTTGAAATGCAATCTTGTTTGATTCTGATCTCAACTAAATTCACAGGTGAAGGATTCGGTTTCTGGCAAAAGTCTATGACGATTGCTCTATCAGTGAAGAACAAATTAGGTTTTGTCAAAGGTACTATCAGGAAACTTGATGATTCCTCCAATCGAGCCAACATTTGGCAGCGATGCAATGACATGATAACTTCATGGATCCTCAATAAGCTGAGCAAAGAAAGAGATAGGTGATAGTGTCCAGTACGCCAAAAATATTGCTGAAATATGGAACGAGCTTGAGGATAGAGTTAGGCAATTAAATGGCGCGAGACAATTCCAACTCTAAAAGGAAATTTGTTCCACCACCCAAGGAAATTCAGATGTTGCCACCTAATACACAAAATTGAAGATAATATGGGATGAGTTGGCTCTGGTATCCAATCTACTAAGGTGCTCCACCCCTCATGTGGAGCAATTCAAGAACTCACAAAGTATGAACAGACGAGAAGTTGATTTAGTTTTGATGGGCCTCAATTCTGACTATAATGTCACTAGAGGAAACATACTTCTTATGAGACCTCTTCCTTCAATGTTTGTTGCTTCTGGACTTCTCAAACACGAAGAAAAACAGAGGGAGATACAAGCATCTTCACATTTCCCAAATAAACATACATCTTTAAATGCAAATGTTCATCCAACATACAAGAGAAGATTTGAAAATATTCCAGAAATCGATCATTATTGATTTTAATCTTCATTTTTGTCATTTATCAAAACCAAAAAAGATATTCTAAAAATATATAAAAAGAGGTTTGAACTCATGTCCAATAATAAATACTCATGAACTGAGAGAGTATGTACCTTAATTTTTTAAAATGTTCTAATTTAAATAAGAGCCTGACTTGCTAAATTTCATATATATATATATACACACACACACACAGTATAGTTTTCATTAGCAAATATAATACTCTCTCTGTCCTACAAAACATTTCTCCTTTTTTTTTTCATCCGTTCCAAAAACCTTTCTCATTTCTCTTAAAAATCTCTTTTAGCCCAATTGATTTTTAACATGTCTATCACATCGCACTTTTTCATTATTAATTTACTCAATACCAAAATATATTCCCTTTAAATCCTTTTAAAGTCAAAAGGAAAAAGGTTTTGTATGACGGATGAAGTATATTTTTTCATATTTTAATTTTTAAGGTTGATGTTTTATTTTTTTGATTTTTTAAACATGTTGTAGCGAAGAAAAATTCAAACAAAAAATTTGTTCGCATGACACGTGTTAAATACTACGGAGTAGTTTATTAAACGTTTAAGAGGAATTCCACAAGCATTTTTATGGGTAATTTCTCAAAAAATAAGAGGGGATTATGACACCATTGAAATTGTAGTGTGATTAGATTGCTTTGCAAATGATGAAAAAAGTGACGACTCCGATGACAGCAAGCACCGCCACCGCCGCCGCAACATTGACCGCAATCTTTGTCCCATTTCCCTTATTGGCTTCTCCGTGAGATTGACCGGGTAAGTTCGACTCTGATTTAGGGTTTGGCATGCTATTATCCACACCAACCGGTAAAGGAGCACTGGTTTTCCCGGGCATCACAATGCGCAGTACCTGACGATCTCGGCGGTATACTGCCCTAATCTCACCTGCCGTACACTTTCCGGGAACTGCGAACACCTTGCTGAACTGTTTCTCCCCCGGCCGATCGCCGGAAATTTTCAGACGCCCACATTCTTCGTATTCTACTTTCAGACGGTCCTTCTTGAACCCTACATCAACAGGTGACCTTCAATTCAGTTCGTGTTAGATTATATGATCTTTATTGTGCTTCTAAGTTCTACTAACAATCAAGATTTAGGGTCCATTTGGTGCACAGAATTGATAGAATTGGAATTGAAATTCTATAGATTTGAATTGGATAGAATTGAATTCTCCAATTCCAGTCTATTTTTTGCACTACCAATTCCAAATACACATATTTTTGTGCCGCCAAACAGCAGAATTGGAATTGAAGTCCCTAATTCCAATTCCATGGCTTGAATTCCGTGTACCAAATGGAGCCTTAGTTTTTTCCTTCTTTTTTTCTGTCAGAGTAGAAAAAATCATTTCTGGGTCCTTAATATGTATGGTTGGACAATATATTAATCAATATCAAAGCCTTGTTGATCTAGAAGTTAACAAATTTGTTCAATTTTCAGAAGCCGGCGAGAGGGGTAATTAAGCAGGTTACATACCTGGTACATCGACCTCGAGGACAAGTGAGCCTTGTTTGTCGTATTCCCATTTGCAGTTTGGGATGAATTCTGAAATCTTAGGACCACGGCCAGCTGATCCAACACTAGACCCCATTTGTGGCAAATTGCTTGGGCTTCTCTGTAAGTTTTTGGTTTCCCAAAGCCTAATTTGTGGGGATTTGATGATGGGAGGGTTTTATATTTGTTGGTGTTGGGTTTAGGTTTCTTCTGAGTTTCCCCAAAGTATATTTCAGAGACACTCCATTGTATTGCATTTGTGGGTTCACCTGAAATATTCCAATCTCTAGTTTCAGCCCCATTCAGGTTTATGTCATATAATTATTCCCCATACTCCTTTAATTTCTTCTTTCCCTTTTCTTTTTAAACTTGAGTGTGGTGTTTGGAATGACTTTTGAAATAAGGGGGAGAAGTTGGAATAAACCATTTGTACACAAAAAATTCATTTATGGTATAGTCAATACTTGTCTGTGTGTGAATTGGTGCAAAGAGTAAAAATCTTCAATAAGACGTTTTGCAAAAACGGGCACTCATTTTACACTTTCTCCTTCGTTTGTTCTGAAGTTGTGTCCAATGTTCCTCATTATGTGTGGAGTTTTAACCGGACCAGACCCGATAAGATTTGAGAGATCATCTGAGAAATAGTGAAATTTACTTTCTATTAAAAAAATTATTCTTGGTAGGGATGAGAAATGTGTGCTTATGTATCCATTAACCATTTGTTTTCTAGCTGTGTCTGCAGTCAAGAAGACTGGAATGAAGTGCTCAAGTGGATTACAGTAGTCTTCAAATTTGTATCTTTATTACTGGATTTGGCGTGAAAGAACCTTCAGAACATTCTATGCTACTCAACATGAGCGAAGTAAGAACAAGTCAAAATTGGGATTAATTATGTCAAAAACATACTCCCTATTTAAATGCCTTGTTTGTAATCTTTGAACCCTTGTACTCTAGAGATTGTGATTAATGATAAATAGCATAGCCTTGCTTTGAAATACTCCCTCCCTAATGAATTGATACACTTTTTTTTGGGTAAATCCTTTTACTTTTCAACACTTTTTTAAACTACGTGAAGTCATACTGTCCAAATTAAATCAGAACAAAGGGAGTAAATCTCTTTTTAAGTAGATGATTAGATGTGTTACACAATGAAAGCGTTATAATTTGAACAAAAGTCACTAATAAATGAGTAATTAGACGTAAGATAATAGAAGAGAAATGAAAAAAAAAATACGGAGTATGCCCTTGTATATATCAAGAATGCAATCCATTCTCCAGGCTTGAAGCGTTTATATTTGGGTGATGATAGAATAATCCCACCAAAAAACTAAATTCACTTCACACATTTATTTTAGTCTACAATTTTTTTAATTACTTTTAGTCAGGTGTTTCACACGAACTCATATATATTCAAAAAAAATTACTTTGATAAAATTATATTTTGAATTAAAATATAATTTTATTTATTTTAATTTTCTAATAAACATATGGTATGCATTATATAATTGTTTTAATTATTAGATATGATATATTTTTTAAATTGAATATTGAAGTTTTAATAATGAGGCACATTTATTAGCAATAATATATATATATTTTTGAAAAGTAATAACACCAAGGTTCCCATGACATTGGGAACCAATGTCATGGGATGACCCGGAGGCGCTCCGGTGCCCCGTTCGTAAAATTGACGGTTCTTATCCCCCCACCCCCGCCCCGACCCGAACACACCCCCCGCCCCCTTCAGTTGCACCATTGATTTTGACTTTGGAGTCAAATTTTGACTCCAAAGGCCAAATCAACTTGTGGGGGGGTTTGTTCAGGTTGGGGGGATTTACCGGGGGGATTAGAGGGGGTAGGAACCGTCAATTTTACGAACGGAGCACTGGAGCGCCCCCGGGTCATCCCATGACATTGGTTCCCAATGTCATCGGAACCTTGCCCAAGTAATAAAAGGGAAATATTATGAATAGTCTTCAACATTTATCATAAAACGATGATGTAGATTAAAAAATAAAATCTTGAAATACATATAGATGTGGGGGAGAACCATATCATGGAGATCACCTCTTGTCTTTGATCCTAACCCTACCTTACCTCAACTTCTCTAGCTTAGGTTAGCCGACCCATTTCACATGGATTGGATCATCTTCCTAAGCATATATTTATATATTGGTTTCATTTGTTTGAGCTTGAATAGATCATCGATCATTTATGGAACAGACTAGTATATTGGGTCCCGATCCACCACCCATCACAAACCTGAGTCTAACAAATTGAGTATTGCTCATCATCTTCTTCCCTGTAATTTGTGTGCAAACTTCCCGGCCTTTTAGTTCCTCAATTCCATATAGCTTCTTTCAAGTTAGTCACCATTGGAAGAGCTAATTAATATGGATAACTCGAGGCTTGTATCCTCCAGAATCGCAAAGTTTGAACTTGATGAAATGAGTCGAGGGCTCGGTTCATTCTGTTAGGTCCGCCACCCTGAGCTAGAAGAAAACATTATCTACAATCTCGGCCTGAATGTTATATATGTGTTCATGTACGTACTGTGCCTTTGTGTGAAGGCTAGAACCCATCTCCCAATCCATCCATCCCCTCCTTGAACACCAAAGCTCACGAGATAATCACCATTTATCGCTCATATATAGGTGGATGAATTTGTCACCATAGAGATCTTCTCCTATTTTTTCATGCTTGAAGGTGCCCCGTACGCAGGAGCCTTCCCCGATTCCAGTTCCGTGTTGAAAATAATTACCATCCTCTTGAATACTCTCCTATAAAAATTACTCCACCACACGCAAACACGAGAAAAAATATAAAGTGTAAAGGAAGATAAGAACACGCTATGCATACTTATTTGACCTACCTTCATGTTTACTTCGATTAGTCCTTAGACAAACGTGCTCGAGCCTGAACTAAATTACGAACAAACTTATGGGTTTTCGGAAAATCGTGACAATTAGAGAACTTAATTTCACAACCCTCTTAGCTTAATTAGCAAGCCACCTAAAACTTGATTTCACAAGTCAGAGGATAATAAGTTAAAGAGAAAAGTAATTGGTATATAAACTCTTGAGTTGAACTAAGTAATAGATTAGATTCAATCTTTTGATATGGTCCAGCCCAAGTGTCTTATGATCCAATCAAGTGATTTATATCACATCCTAAATTCTATCATGGTATTGGTGCATATTTTGGCCCTTCTCATTTGTCAAAGTGTTTGTCTAGACGTCCATTCTTAGTTGCCTAGGTCTTTTGCTCAGTTGTCCGTATGGAATGCATACCCAACAGTATATGGCCCATTTGACTTGATTGTTCATCTAGAAATCCATACCCAGCAATTCAGGTCCCTTTAGGCGTTGACGTTCAAAGATCCATGTTAAGGGGATGTGAATCTATTTGCAAGTGGTCAACTGGTTAGATTTATAACGACTCGGTTATTCACTTGAGGAGGAGTGTTAAAATATCCCACATCGGAAGTTAAAGAAAAAAGTAATTAATATATAATTTATTGAGTTGAACTAAGTAATTGATTTGGATCTGATCTTTATGTTAATATGATCCAATCCAAGTGTCTTATGACTCAATCTAGTGGTCCATACCCTATCCCAAATTGTATCAAGTCCCAATTTCAAGCAACCCATTCGATGAATAATTATTCCTCGAACAACACCTCTAAAGAGAAAGGAATTCCTTTCTTCTACGACCGCTTGCTAGAATATATGAAGAATGTATATGGTTTTCTACTCTCAAGAGTCAAGAAAAAATGGCTTTCAAACTCTATATACGTTGGGGGATGAAAAGGTGTAGATGTATGCAACTAATATTTGAAAAACTACCAATTAAAACTATTTAGCTAGTATTTGAATACTAGAAGGAAGTAATTGAATACTAAGTAATGTATTGTTGTTATTCAATTCCAAACCAACACTTACACTTAGTATTCAAATATTCGGGGGAGTATTCGAATGCCAAGGTTAGAAGAAGTAAGTAGTAGCCCACCAAGTCCTTAGATGTCTGAATACTTAGTGTCCAATTATAGCAAACAAATTTCCTTAAGTTCTATAGGTATTCAAATGGTTGGGGGTGAATGGATTATATTATCAACAAAGAGAATTTGAAAATCTAGCACATAGAAGTGTTTAGACTTCAAACAACTTAGTTTTCGATTAGTAAGATATATGTGGTGTTTCCTGTGCTGGTGTTTATTAACTTATTGTTGATTAGCAGCTTTAAAATTATAAGTTTTTTATAAGTTAAATATCCTATCATGGAAGTAAATTAATTTAAATGAGGGAAAACTCATTTAGAAATATTCCCAAAAGGTGAGGAACAGTTTTGTAAATAATCTGGTTAAAACGGAGAAATGAAAAGAATGACTTAAAAATAAGTAGGTAAGACCTACTTATTTTTTGACTTATAAGTAGCTTATCAGTTAGTTTATAAGCACATAGAAATACATTATCGAATGACTTAAAAGTTAAAAACTGCTTATAAGTAGTTTTGATTAGCTTATAAACACATAGAAACACTTACAAGATGTTCAAATATTAGATGGGTTCTAGTGTAATATTCGATACTAGCACGATTTAGCGTTTTGAAAATTTAGATTTTTTTATTTTGCTTTCTGGATCACAATCATTTTGAACACAGTTGACTTTTCGGATACAAGGCAAGAACTAGGGCATGTTTTCTTTACGTGACTCGAAAAAGTTCTAATTTGATTTGGTCTGATCTGATTTGATTGTAGTTATATTTAAAGTTGTTTATGATCTAATCTAATTTGATCTGATACGAATACAAAACAAATTTTAAGAGAACAAGATCTTACTTACCTCTTTCGATTCATTACGTGCAGTGCCATACGCAGGATTTTGCTAACCATCTCTTTATATGCAAATTTCTTCTCGACAACGTTGAGACTGTTGACGATATTAGAAAATTTTTTCAACATATATTCTATCAACTCTTTCGTCTTCATCAAGAATGTTTCATTCTCATGCACCAATATTACAAAATATTGATCGCACATTAAAAAATGGGAGTGATAATTTAGGCACTTGTGTGTCCCTAAAAGATTTTACAGAAAGAATTCACCGTTCTATTTAAAAAAAGAAATTAGTTTACTTTGTTTCTCTATTTTCTATACAAAATTCATCCTACAATTCATTTTTTTAAACTTCGTAAAAGCCAATCTAAAACAATTTATAAATATAAAAGAAATTTGTGAGAGAAGATTGGTCCTGATAGGACGATGGCAACCCAAACGAGAATCCAACATGAGAAAAGTATAGCGCAAGTTTGGGAACCAAATGCGGAATAATTTACGGAGTAGCAAGCAGAAGCAAGGCCCTTTAGCGTAGCGGCGGCTAGCACGCCACACCGCCATTAACAGACATCATCACATGGGCAAAGATGGAAACTTTTACTTCAATAATTATTCGTTCGAATTTCAGCATGGTCTTTCCTTCCTAAGCAGTTGTAAGCACACTTCATTCTTTTTACAACTCTCCTTTTACCAACACCTCAGAAGAGAGAGAGAGAGAGGGAGAGTTCCATTCACAATGCAGCAGGTTAGATCTCACCTTCTTAACGGAATTCTTAAATTTGTTGTTCTTTTTCAAGTTTATGTATGATAGACTGGAGTTTATCAGTCGAATTTATTCGTATTTTCTCTTTGTTTGTTTGGTGATGTTATTAGCAACACAGAAGAGCAGTCCGGGTGGGGAATGTTTCAGATCTAGCGACCGAGAGGGAAATCCGAGAGTTCTTCTCCTTTTCCGGCGAGATTGAGCACATTGAGATCCAACGGTGGGTGGTGGTGTTCCGGCTTAGTTTTTGAGTTTTGTAAAAATTTGATTTGAAGGTGACTCATCCTTGGCGTCATTGTTTTTCAGGGAGCAAGACGAATCTAGGACTGCTTATGTTACCTTTAAGGATGTGAGGGCTATTGAAATTGCTCTTCTGTTATCGGTAATTCGATTTGCCTCCATTTTTTCATCTGCTATCGGAGTAGTGCATTTTCAATTAACATTGTTTGAAGTTGTTAGATATTATGGAGTACCTTCCTGAAGAGGGTTTGTAAATTAATGCAAATAAGTGAATGAAGCTAATTGATCTTATTGGAAAATACTTCCTCTATTTGATTAGCTTTATACACATAATTGGAATGCACTTTGCATCAAGGTTATCATATGGTAAATTCATTAGAGTGATTTGCATGGGGTCGAGTGGTGCAATGTGGTGAGGTTGCGGCATAAATGGGTGAGTTGGGCCTATTTCTAATGTTTTTATAAGATTTAAGGTCCCAACAATATCTGTATTTTTGAATTCCTTATTAGCTTGGCTAACAATATATCTAGACTAAATATTAGTAGTTTTTGACTATGGGAAGTAATGCACAACTGCACATTACTTAGGCTGTTGTTCCTGGGGCCTAGTTAAGCTATGTTCATGGTTGACAAAACTATGGAAGTTTAAATTGATCTAAAACATGATGAATTTCACATGAATCAATCTATGTGTTTTATGCAATACATTAGATCTGTTCTCTTCTCAAGATTAAAGCTAAGATTTGCACAATTAAATGATAAATGAAATGTTGGATGAAAGAAAATATGGTAGACGAGGAATAAAGATTAAATGATGCTCGATAAAGATAAAACATGAGATGGAATGAGAAGATTCGTTTGCTAAAAAAAGGTGAAGGGGTATATGAAGATTTTAAAATATTTTAGTAGGGTATGTGATATAACTGTAAATACATTGAAAGTGCAGTGAATAGTCCTTTTCTAAAGGGACTACGAGCTTGTTCTGATCTGATTAGTTCTGTTTTGAATATGAATTTATTAAGGCGTGATCTGATTCTTTTTCATCTGATTCCAATTTTGATTCTGATGCTTTATGATCTGATTCTGATTCTTTCTAATCTGAATCATTTATGTCTGATGACTCTGATCTAAAATGATTAAAGTTAGAGTTATATGTCGTATATGTTTTTGATCAGATTTGGTCTGATATGATATGAATTTTTATAATCTAATCCAATTTCAATAAGAATAAGTAATAAGCAATAAGAATAAGTTGAAGAGAAATGTCCTAACTCTCCAAAGTGCACTTTGTGGGGGGGGGGCAAATTTCCAGGACAATATAGTAATTCAATAATACTCAGATGCCCCAAAATAGGAAAACTACCTAGACTATTTATAACAGAGCATTGAAGGTAATGCAGTACTAAAGTAATGGAAATAATACATACCGGAGTAAAAGATAATGGAAGTAATGATTCCGCCTTTTCAATATGTGGCTACTATTTCTCTTCATTCAGTTGTAGACCAGGTAAAATGCTGAGTTGTTAAGATTGGTCATCTAACTCATGCGCTTTAGCTATCTTTATCTGAGAATAAACCTTCTGTTGTTTAGCAGTAAGATAATGTATAGTAATAAATTGAATGTGTAAACGGTTAAAATTGGAATCTCCTAGACATAAACTTTGAATGGTGACTTGGTATGTGAAAAGCTAATTGTGGTAATTTTTTTCTTTTATCTCTATTTTTTCATCTACCAAACAAATTGAAAATTTTCGCTATAGTAGTTTCATGTATTACATAGTAGCTGAATTTGCTTATTAAACATAAACACTGAAGTTCCATGTATTGTGCAATTGTGCATTTGAAGGGAGCAACAATAGTGGACCAGATTGTGAATATAAGTCTGGCAGAAAATTATGTTCCAAAACCTGAAATTCAGGTAACTCAAAATTCCAGATTTTATATTTTCCACTGCCACTTTAAATCTGTCATTACAACTCAAAATTCCATCAATTCAAACAGGAGTTAAGGATAGTTGTTGACGATGATATTAGCATTGCCGGGAACAATAACTCACTGCATACTGAGGTATACACACCTACAGCCTCCTGCATATTTTGTCTTTTATGTAAAAGAATTATTTGGAAACTATATGCATTCTTTGATTCTGTCATTTGGCATCTAATTTTAACTGGTTCAACTCTAATGGGTTTGTTTGGATTCAGGGTTTTGGAGGGATAGTCTTTGGAGGACTTAGTGTATATCTTAATATGTATTTGAGAGTTTATAACTGTTATATGTTAACATACTTTGTGAACAGATACCATTTCAACCACGTTTTTTATGTTTTTAGAAACATTCTATTTATCATTAATCAAGGTATAAACTAAGCTCTCCACTGCCTTCCCCTACAAACAGAACCAAATTCTTCAGGTAGAATATCTGTTGCTTCTAATATAGGCAATCCCTTGAAATTAATCCTGGCATATTTTCACTTACGGCATGACATCGGACTAAGCATATTTATTACACAAAAATGTGTCCAAGCTGGTGAAGAAATAGTTTTTGGACAAAGTTCATAGATCTTTGCCACGTGTTTGAATGTGTGAATTGATTATATGCTTCCACAGGTTATCATTAGCTTATTGTAATTATAGTTTCTGGTTATGTATGCTTGGGTTATCTGTGATATCTGTCTCTTCTAGCAGGACAAACTGGGTTCATCTAGCTATGCAAGGGCAAATGGGAGGGTATATGTGAGCAAAGCACAAGATGTGGTATCTAGTGTCTTGGCAAAAGGTTCAGCTATAGGACAAGATGCAATGACTAAAGCCAGGGCATTTGATGAGAAGCATCGGTTGACAGCAACTGCATCTGCTAAAGTCAGTTACTTTGACCAAAGAGTTGGTTTGTCTGAGAAACTGACAGTAGGAATTTCTGTAGTGAACCAGAAAGTTAAATCTGTTGATGAGAGGCTTCAAGTTTCTGATAAAACAATGGCTGCGCTTATTGCAGCTGAGCGTAAACTAAACGATACAGGATCAGCAGTCAGATCAAGCAGGTATGCAGTGTAAACTAAATGATACTTGGCATTTTTTTTCCTTTGACGATCATTCCTGGAGATCCAAACATACCCAAATTTTGGGTGACTGGATTCTTCTAGGAAGATCTCTCACACACACTAATGTTCACACACATTGACAGCTGCTAGCATGATATGATTTCCACTTTGATGGATTCAATTGAATGTGTTTTCACTTCAAGCTGACATGTTCTTGTGAACTGCATCAATGGAACTGAGCAGGTATGTAACTGCCGGAGCTGCTTGGCTGAATGGTGCTTTTAGTAGGGTGGCAAAGGCAGGGCAGACTGCTAGTACAAAAACAAGAGAAAAGTGGAACTCGGCATTCTCAAATATGACAGCAAAGGTTTTACTTTCTTCTACCCCCCCCATCCCCACCAGGATCAGTTAGTTAATGCTATTTACCAATATAAAAATGTGTCATTGCAAAACAAATTAAGGTCCCATTTGATTCATCTAAAAATAGGTATCAATTATCACAGATGGGTTTGGGAATTCCTTAGTCATATTTCATGTTTGGTAATTTTTGGTTACAAAAAATGAACTCCCAAAGTCATTCACTAAACTCATCTAAACCTCATCCCCCCCCCCCTCTAGCTGGTACTTCTTCGGTCATTACGCAACAAAGCAGAAGGGACGCCATAAGACTATATCGGAAATGTTAAGACTATGTCAGAAGACTTAACTCATACCGTTTCTAACTCTTCCTAGTTCTAATCATGTACCTTAATTTTAACCACACGGGTTAAAATTAAGTAGATACATGAAAAAAGAAACTTCAACCATGTTTTACCGGCATTAAATAGATATCATATTATAGGTGAAATCATATAAATTTTTAGTTTTTACTATGAGTAATATTAGTTTTTGTTTGTTCTTTTTTAAAATAATGGCACGGATATAGGATTCTCCTATGGTTGTATAGAGTCGGATTACATCAACAATGGCAGCTGGGAAGTGGCAAGTGCTTGTTATCTGGTGCTTGTTTTACTGTTGCGAGCGTCGGGAACCATTTTGGTCATATTCAATTTATTTTGCAGTGTGTATTATTCTTCACTCATTAGTGTTTGAGAAGGCCAATTTATCAAATTAGGTTGTGCAGTTTTACAGTGTAATCCATCTTTGTACCATACTCTTCCCTCATCAATGAATGAATGTTCCACTCACTATAACATTTGATGTGAAAATTGAGATATTCTATTATGAATGAAGAAATTCAGACGTTGTGGACAATCTTCTCCTTTTATTTTCATAATAAAGTTAAACTACTTCAATATTATTTCTTCTATTGTAATTTAAGTTGTATGTTTATTATTCACAAGGTCAAATTTTAATTGTTTTTCATACTTATTTTCATTACTCATTTGATAAAAATAATATAGTTATGTCACTTCTAATTTTGTAAAATTTTTTTATGTAGTTTTTACATACTTTAATTGCTTTTCATACTTGCTTTTCATACAACGTCAAACTTTAATTGCTTTCCATACTTAATTTTGTAGAATGTTACTCTCCTTGGTGTACAAGGCTTATGTGACATAAGTCCTGTGTGTGAAGTCTTGTAAAGAGCATATCTATGAGTGGTGTGAAGTCTTGGAGTTTTGTTTTTCCGAGCAATTATATTGAGGTTCTTGTGAGTTAAGTTCTCAAGTTGTAAACAGTTTGTCAAGCACTCAGTTAAGCTTGATAGATAGTGGAAGTCTTGATAGGTAGTGGAAGTCTCTGGAGAGTTTCTCAGGGACTTGACTAACCAAGAGGTGAATGATGAATCAGTATATATTGGCGTGTTCTTTGCTTTCTCTAATTTATTTCTGTTAAACACTCATTTATTTTTTAAATATACACTCACTATAAAAATCAGTAAATATTCTCAAGAACTTTATTTACCCCTTCTAGAGTTACGCATGTTGTCTAACATGTTTTTCTAGGTGATTCCTAAATGTGGTTTCCACATGTTGGGATGCTTGCCAAATTGGAATAAAACCTTGTGAGTCGAAAACTAGTTACTCCAAGGTATATATGTTGATATTCCATATCTGGAGGCTTGTGGGTACACTCGTTTGCTAAATGCTCTTAAATGTACCAGATGTTGAATGTTCTATCAATCAAGGAAAATGGCTAACTTGTGAAATATTTTTGAACCTTTTTATGCCGCGTTGAGATATGGAAAGGTTACTTTGAATGGTTCAAGATGTCTTATTTTGAATGTTTGTGATCACAACATAATTACTAGTGAGGAAGCTTTGGCAAAAATGTTTGGTGTGACTACTAAAGGTGAAAGTTTGGATGAGACAAGTTCTCTTTGGGAGAATGTTATGATTTGATGAATTTGAAGCCCTCCTTTACTCATTTTGACTTGAAATTACTAAATTTTCTATTAAGTTTCGTTATGCTCGGTATCCAAACACTTATCAAGTTGTGGTTGTGGTGTTCCTTCTATTCTTCTTTTGTCCCAGCTTTTGGCACCTTCTTCTCACTTCCCCCATCGTCGCGGCGTTTTGATTTCAGATATCTTGAGATCTATTGCGGTGTTCCAGACAAGCAACAATCGTGCTCCTGAAGATGACAGTGGCATTCCGACGAGCAACACCAGCAACTGTATCGAGCATCATCAAACAAACTTCATCATCTTTAAGGGCAAATTATATGGTGGACCTTACATAAGGTCCACCATGAATCTATGAACAAAATAAGTAATTTCTTACTACTTAAATTAAAAATTTTGTGAGAAGGTATAAAAAATGTTATGCACAAGGTGCATCATAGAAACAATCCCACTGCCCGCAAGTTTAATGGTTGGGCAATGCTAAGGAGTACATCAACATGAGATACTCTATTTGTACACTAAATTAACACAGACACATAATGTCTGTGCAGGCATAGCCATCATGTGTGTGTTAATTTGTTGTACAAATGGAGTACCCATGTTGGTCTACCTCTAAATTACTTTTTAATGGTTAGCTTTTTTCCCAATTCTTTTCTAATAGGCGGTGGGTGGTAGGGCACACCATTATATGAGCAATGATTGTGGAGACAAGAAAAGTCCAAAACATATGGGAACATGGTCAGGTAATTGAAATGGGAATAGTATGATAGATCTGTCAAACCAATATCCAATCTAAACAAAAAGATGATGCATGATCATGCCCTCATGGCGAAAAAGATAATCATCTCTGTCAAAAGTCGGCAATTCCTATTCATTCTCCACAAGCACCATCTCCCCCTCACCCATTATATGCCTTTCCTTTCTTTACTCTTTTTATTTATTTATTTCATGCGCGTCTAAATAAAATTTTTTCTTCGAACAAAGTGCAAAATCTCACTTAGGCTATCCTTTAACGTATAAGTACAATAAACACGTTTATCTTTTAACGTGTATTATAAAAAAAGACTGCATTTCGAGAGTTGATGAATATTTGAAAGACTACTTATGGATAAAATTTGAAGGACTACATGTGGAGGGTTATGAATACTTGAAAGACTATTTATGAATTTTTGAAACATGAAAGACCAATCGCGACAACTCATAAAGTTGAAAGATCAATCACAGATTTTAGCCATAAGATTATGCTCAGAGGAAGACATGATTATGCCAGATAAAAAGAAGCAAACAACAAGACAGGGTGGCCCGAGACCTCTTGATCGATGGGTTAGCTTAGTTTAAAAAAATCCCCCCCCACTTAAGCGAGGAGACATGAGGTTCAACATGCATATATTACGTAATGAGTTGGAAATAAGCATATGAGCTTAATTACATGCCCTCCCCTCTAAGTAATACCCAGTATACCAACTTTTGTTATTGGATGATCCACCCAACGCCAGTCTTTTCTTTTTAGATAATAAGGCTGTGAGGTTACATGCTCTGTGTAAGTAATATACTATACCACCTTTGTTATATAAGCCCCCCCCCCACCCAACACTTATCTTTCAAACACTTTTTCTCCCACCCTCACAAACTAACCGACCCTCCCACAGCAAGTAATGTGAAAAGATCGGAGAGAAGAGGAGATATGGGCACGGTAAGAAAGCTGATAGTAGAGGTGATAGAGGCCAGGAATCTGCTGCCCATTGATGGCCAGGGTACTTGCAGCCCTTACGTCGTCATCGACTACTACGGCCAGAGGAAGAAGACCCAGACCGCCGAACGCGACTTGAACCCCCAGTGGAAAGCGGCGCTGAAGTTCGACGCCGAGGCCACTTCCGACGTGTTTGGGGACACGCTTGAGGTTGTTGTCTACCACGACAAGACCGTCGGCCCCACCAGAAGGAATAACATTCTGGGCGTGCTGAAGCTGGACTCGACCCAGTTTGTGAAGAGAGGGGAAGAGGCTCTCATTCATTATCCCCTCGGGAAGAAGAACCTGTTCCACTGGGTCCGCGGTGATATCGGGTTGAAGATCTACTTCGTCGACGAGGTGGTTCCTCCTCCGGCTCCGGCGCCTGCGGAGCCTGCTGCAGCCGAAGAGAAACCGAAAGATGAAGGAACCGAATCTGCGGCTGGGTCGCCGGAGGAGGTTCAAGACCCGCCGGAGGAAAATGAAAACCCCCAATCGGGAGATCAGATTTCAGAACCGCCGGTTTCGAAACCGGATGAAGACGGACCTGTTCAGGTGAGGGCGTCCATAGCGACTGTATCTGCACCAGAGGTTAAAGTCAGCAACTTCGCCGGCCCTGAACCGCTCAGCCGGACACCGTCGGTGAGCAACTTCGCCGGCCCTCCACCGCTGAGTCGGACTCCGTCAGTGAGCAGTTTCGTTTCCGATGCATCCGACAGATCCACGATGGAGAGATCCTCGTTCGATCTCGTGGAGAAAATGCATTACATCTTCATCCGGGTCGTGAAAGCACGATCTCTGGCAACTTCCGGCCTCCCGGTGGTCAAGATCGCCGTCTCCGGCAACCACGTCGTCTCTAGACCCGCTCGGAAAACCGCACAGTTCGAGTGGGACCAGACATTTGCTTTCTGCAAAGACGCGCAAGATACCTCCTCGATGCTCGAGGTCTCCGTCTGGGACCCCGCGGACGCCACGTCATCGGACCCCGCGTCTGACGTGGCCGGTCATAACTTCCTCGGCGGGATATGCTTCGACGTGAGTGAGATCCTCCTCCGAGACCCGCCGGACAGCCCCTTGGCGCCGCAGTGGTACAGGCTCGAAGGCGGCGGGGCCCACGGAGGGGACTTGATGCTTGCCACGTGGGTCGGGACCCAGGCGGACGAGTCGTTTCCCGACGCGTGGAAGACGGATACCGCCGGTAACCCCACTTCCCGATCTAAGGTGTACCAATCGCCTAAACTGTGGTACCTCAGATCCACCGTGATTGAAGCACAAGACGTGTTCCCGTTAATTACGCCGTCAAAGCAATCCTCCTCCGTCCAAATCAAAGCACAGCTCGGATTCCAAGTCCAGAAGACCAAACCAGCCGTCTCCTCCACCGGATCGCCGTCGTGGAACGAGGATCTGGTCTTCGTCGCAGCCGAGCCGTTCACCGAGAATTTCCTCCAATTTGTCCTACTACAGCACCAGCCGCCCAAAGATCAAGCCGTTCTCGGCGTCGCCAGCATACCGCTCTCCTCCATCGAGCGCCGCGTCGACGACCGCCAGGTGGTTTCCAGATGGTTCACTCTCGAGGTCGAGAAGGGCGAGAAGAGAACGTACGGAGGAAGGATTCACCTGAAGCTCTGCTTTGACGGCGGATACCACGTCGTCGAAGAACCGGCCCATGTCTGCAGCGATTATCGGCCGACGGCGAGACAGCTCTGGAAACCGCCTGTCGGCACCGTTGAGCTGGGAATCATCGGGTGTAAGAACCTTTTGCCGATGAAAACAATGGGAGGGAAAGGATCTACGGATGCGTACGCGGTTGCGAAATACGGCAACAAGTGGGTCCGGACTCGAACGGTTTCCGATAATCTCTCCCCGAGATGGAATGAGCAGTACACGTGGAGGGTCTATGACCCGTCCACTGTGTTGACCATTGGAGTGTTTGATAGCTGGGAGGTCTTTGACCCATCGGACGGTTCGTTTAAGGACTCCAAACGAACCGATGCCCGAATGGGTAAGGTTCGGGTGCGGATATCCACCCTCGCCACGGGAAAAGTGTACAAGAACACATTCTCATTGCTATTGCTCTCACCCGCGGGGTTGAGGAAAATGGGAGAAATTGAATTGGCCGTAAGGTTTATTCGATCTGCGCAAACGCTTGAATTGTTACACGTCTACGCGCAACCGATGCTTCCTGTGATGCACCACCTCAAGCCGCTAGGGGCGGCTCAGCAAGAGATGCTGCGGACCGCAGCCGTGAGGCTGGTGACCGCGCACTTGTCGCGTTCGGAGCCGCCTCTGAGGCGGGAGGTGGTGACGCACATGCTGGACGCCGACTCCAACGTGTTCAGCATGCGCAAGGTGCGCGCCAACTGGCTGAGAATCATCAACGTGGCCTCGGGCGTGATAGACGCGGTGAGGTGGCTGGAGGACACCCGCGCCTGGAGGAACCCGACGGCCACCGTGCTTGTCCACGCGCTTCTGGTGCTGCTCGTTTGGTTCCCCGATCTCATCGTCCCCACCTCCGCGTTCTACGTGTTCACCATTGGCGCGTGGAACTACAGGTTTCGGCCCGGGCGCGACAGACTGAACCACTTCGAAACCAAACTCTCGCTGGCGGAGTCGATTGACCGGGACGAGCTGGACGAGGAGTTCGACGGCGTGCCGTGCTCCAGGCCCAACGAGTCGGTCCGTGCCCGGTACGACAAGCTGCGGGTGCTGGGGGCACGGGTGCAGGCGCTGTTGGGGGATGTGGCGACGCAAGGGGAGCGGGTGCAAGCGCTGGTGGCGTGGCGGGACCCGCGTGCGACGGGGATCTTTATCGGTCTGTGCCTGGTTGTGGCGCTCGTCCTGTACGTGGTGCCGTCGAAGATGATAGCCTTGGCTTTTGGGTTTTATTACCTGAGGCATCCTCTCTTCAGGGACAGAACGCCTTCCCCTGCTTTGAATTTCTTCAAGAGGTTGCCTTCCCTTGCGGATCGAATGTTGTAATTCTTTTTCTTTTTTTTATGTTAGTGCGAGTATTTGTATTCTCATCTACCTTAATCACCGATTGGGAGCATTGTTGTTTTCCACTAAATGAGACACTCTTATCTAATTAAGGTCTGGTTCCATATCGTGCACATTTGGTTTTCATTTTCGTACCCCATTCGTATTGTTGTCTCTCACTTCATCAAAAACCAAATGACCAATGCAGCAACTTGGGAGTTGTTACCTCACCATCTTTAGTCGTTATTGAATTCATTTCACTTGCTCTCTATTTTAGAAGAAATAAGAACATGAATATCACTTGCAGAATCCTAATCCAATTTGCATATTCATACGGTCATAAAGCATTTTTCTAGTTTTGATTTTTTGTAGTGAATCAAGCTCGACCTTTGACTTAAAATTAAATAAAAATTACATGATATATTAATTAGATATAAAAATATTAAAAATATATTACAAGATAAGCTGAATAAAATTATTCTTTATCAATATATAATATAAAATTTATTTACTTAATTGTAATAGTTTATCAATTAAATTTCAACCTCAAAAGGTCAAAATTAAATGTAAGAATTCTAATGAGCTTAAGCTAAAAATCTTTTTATCATTATACTTAGGTCTGGACACGATGTCGGTTCCGAATAGCGATCAAAATCGGTGATTCAAGCACCGTAACTATCGCCGGCACGAAACAAGGGGGAGGAGAATCGATACTGGGAATCGGTCGCAGGAACCGAGTTGGGCGATACTGATTTCAAGGGTAGGTTAGGCCGTTAGGTATCGGAGCCAGCTCCGGTTCCAATCCAATCCGATCCGATCCGGATTTTTTTTGTTGGAATCGGGGGGGTTATATATATATATATATATATATATATATATATATATATATATATATATATATATATATCNGTATATATATATATATATATATATATATATAAGAACAACTCAGTAGAATGGATCAAAACTCACAAGAGATTAATAAGAACAAGAACTCGAGAATTTAAGTTTTATTAGCTTGATTCGGCTTGAGGATCCCCATTCGGGTTCTCTTTTTTATACATGGTTTCTTGGATAATTAAGGTAGTTCATAATCAAAGGTCTGTCAATGGCGTGATCCACTTTCTCCGGCTACGTCCCCGCCTCCCGCTGAATCTCCTCTCCCTGATTGACTCTTCTAGCAGTCCCTTAAATTGGGTTGGCCCGGGCCCAATGACTTAGGCCAGCCAGATATAGTATTTCCTAGCCCGTGAGACCCAGCACCTTCGTTTGGGCCACCCGTTAGGTATCGGCCCATCACAAGCCCCCCAACTCCTCATTCCTCAGACGGGCCGCGTTGAGGGATGGGGAGTTTATGAAGTCCACGTGGGCGCCTCCTCAACGGATCCGCGTCGTTCCTTGGTTTTCGCGTGACAGTTGGCACAATCTCCACTAAAAGCAATCATGGCCTGCTGCTTCGCCTTCCACCCTTCTGATAAAACCGCCGCTGGACGCCATTTTTCGCCACCTGCTACACTTGTTTCGTCACTTGCTTCTTCGCCGCTACCCGACCAGTTTTTCCTCAATCTTCAGGTCAGTTTTCTCTTTGCCATCATGATTATCTCTGATTCCGACTCGGCATCTCCATCGTCCAATTCTCGTCAGGCTGGTCGTTCGGCCCCTGGCCAAGACCAAGGCCAGTCCCACTCTCCTCAGCCGTCGCTGGCGGCAATGCCCGGCCAAAAGCTGTGCCGGCTGAGGAAGCAATTTCCCTCCTCGACCCCTGCACTGAAGGGCAAGAGGGTTAGACTGGAGGAGAGCATCATGGCGCTGTGTCATTGTCAAATCAATGACTGTGGATTTGCCGACGCCACTAATATGGTCGGGCCCTCTATTGAAGTCCAATGGCCCACGAGAACCCAGACCGCCCTAGATGCTCCTTCGAGCTTTTTCACCGTTCACTTGGCCTCTTTGAAGAAGGGACTACGGTTTCCTCTGCACTCGTTGTTGATCGAGTTCCTCAACAAGTTTTTATCAATTAGCAATTTTACAATTCTCACTGAGTTTTTAACATCTTTTTTTAGACTTAAGTTTTTACGGAGTATAAAAGTTAATTATAGGAGCCTAGGAGGGATGTATTTTTTTATTTATAGATTAGCTACTTTGTATGGATATTGACGTTTAAAATCTTGATATGAGCAAATTTCAAAACCCACTAGTGTAGAAAATTAAACATGCATTCTAAGCAAAACAAATACTGCAGTTGTGCGCCTGTGATGATGTATTGATGTGCATTGTGCAACAATTATTTTTGTTAAATATATTCTTACTATATTTAATATTTATGTATACTCGTAGCTACCATATTTGTATAGAGTGTATTAATTATTGTTTCCTATTATCATTAGGAAACCTTTGTATATATACACATTAATCTCCATCCCATAATTATTCAATAGATTATATTCATTTTTAATGTTAAATATATTAATTTTTTTGATCAACCATTGATTTGAAAAATATTAAAGATGTGCACGATGACAAATACTTCATACAAATCATAGTGAAATAATGCTATATATTATGTAGTGATTGAAGATGGATTGTACACTACATTAAAAGTAGTTAGTAGTAGGAAATAACAGTGTAATGCAACAACAATTATGCCAAAAGATAAGTTTCGAACATAGTGGGATTGCAACAATTATGTCATCTGTTCTCACGTTGATGTTCCTGCAGGTTGAGATGCATGTGTAGCTTTTTTTGCCATCCTTTGCACTAGAATTGAGGACACCTCCACATCATCGTTTCTCATCACGGAGGAATCAAAGAACATCTTGATGGTATGGATTTCATGGGGATTAAAAGTTGGGTCCTTGTTTAGCATGTAAACCAACACTCCTCGTAGCTCACCCACGATATCTCCGAATACATCCCTAAAGCTCTTGTAAGTACAAACTCTTCCCTTGTAGGCCAATCCAAGAGCATTTCACAATAATCATCCGTGGCATGCAAGGTATTGATGGCGTTCTGAATTTCTGTTGGCTCATACAATTTCTTATAAAAAATGGTCATATGCAACTTCTCAAGTAGATTTAGTCCTTCTAGAGCTGTGTAGAAGATGAGACTGTCGTGAAGAATGCTAGCCTCCTCAACACTCAAAGGTTGCTTTCTACGAAGAGCATCTACGAAGGCTATGTAAATCAGTTCACTTGTTACTTTTATTAACTAAAAACTAACTAAACTAACAAGTAAAACTAAACTAACAGATATGGGGAGCTTAAATGATAATTCTAAAAAGATAAAAATGCAAATAAAATAAAGATAAAGGATGACAGATAAGAGATAAGATCCAGAACAACAGCAGCAACTCGAACTCAGAAGTAAACTCAGGGAGAAAACTAACCCACAAACAAACACATAAAACAATCACACCTTTAAACTTTATAAAATGTAGACAATAATAATTAACTTAAACAATTTTGAAACTACTTATAGTTTTTAATAGAAAATAAACTGAACAAATCTGATTCATCAATTAATTATGTCTTAATCTTAAAACTAAACTGCTAATTAAACTCAGGGTTAAGCTGAAGAAGAGATCCACCTGCAGTTCTTCTCTATTCTCCCTAATATAGCTTATGTTAAGACATGACCTAACTCTAGACCCTACTATTCTTAACAACTCAATGACCAGCCCCCAAATTTAATTAAAAATAGAGCATTAAGTTCTTTGGAAAACATCACTTAACAACTATGCAGTAGACTATATCTATTTAACATAGCTAGTTTGAAAACTCTGATTAATAAAAACTGGGTGGGAGCCAATTAAGTATTAACCAGACACTTGTGTTTTGAAAATCTTAGCTATAAACGTACTCAAGATCTTAAAATTGTCAATTGGAATTAGAGTTTAGGCGGCCGTCCTAAATTGATCTAATCCAAGTTTAAACAAAGACCAGTTTTCAAACACCTTTTTGAGTTTAGATTTAACAGTAGCACAAAGGCTAAAACTTCAAAACCATATTATATAACAAGAATAATCAAACCAGAGATTAAATCATTTTTGTCAAACAATCCGGCCTACGGAAGTTTCATAATTCCAAACACAATAATCAATCACTAAGGGGCTGTTTGTTTCAGCCTCTTAATGGTTCAGATGTCTGAATGATTCAGCACTTAATGGTTCAGACTGTTTGTTTCAGCCTCTTAATGGTTCAGATGTCTGAATGGTTAAGAAATTTGTCTCTGAATGGTTAAGTATCATACAAAGTCTGAATGATTAAGACCTCTTATCTGAATTGATCAGACATTTGCATCTGAATAGTTAAGCAATATACTAGCTTTTAATGGTTCAGACCTCTTCAGACCTCTTACTGGTTCAGCACTTACCGATTCAGAAGTTGCCAAACAGCCCCTAAATCAAATTTGAACAATTCAACACCAACACAAACAATTCAACACTTATAATATAACTTAAATATTCAAAACAAAACCAGAGTTGAAAATAAAAGTAAATTAAACATATATAATATTGGAAATCAAATTCATAAATTGAGAAGTTTAGAAATTCAAAATCCTAAATAAAAATGAAAACAATTAATGGAAGAAAATACAAATACTCCCCTCTGTTTTTCCTTCGTCAAGCCGTGCACAGAGGCCAGAGTCGTCCAAGCTTCTTCATCAGACTAGACGCCAGCCATTGCTCCAGCTGCTGCCGCTAGTCTTCGCCGGAATCCAATTGTCGCTGCCGTGAGTCATCGCCGCGCCGGACCTAGGGTTGAAACCCTAGGCCGGCTCTTCGTCTATTCCGATCTGGCTCTCGTCTCTATCCGTCTCCCTATTTTCTCTCTGTTTTCCTTCAATTTATGCTAGAACACTATGTTTGGTTCGAGGATTTTGGAAGGAAAAGAAAATAAAATGATTTTCTCTCATTTTAGTTTTCCCTTCGGTTAGTACATTTGTCTTCTCATTTTCATTTCTATCTACGGAGCATTCCTTCTTTTAGTTAGGTTTGGATTGAGGTAGGTAAAATTTTATTAGGCAGGTAATAAAAGGTAATAGAAGGTAAATAATAGAAGGTAGGTAAAGTGAGGTAATAAATTAAAAATTGTGTTTGAATATTTATTAGGTAAAGTAAAGTATGTAAAATAATAAAATTACCTAAATATCCTTGTTTGAATAATTTATTACGGATAAGATAAAATCAAGAGAGAAGAAAATGAAGAAAACAGCAAAAAACAAAAAGAAGGAAAAAAACAAAAAAAAACAGACCGCCGATTTGGAACCAAAGGAAGAAAAAAACACCAGGCGCTTGGAATTAGAATTAGAATCACCGGCGCTAGAAAAAAAGAAGAAAAAAAGTGCGGCGCTAGAATTGAAATCACCGGCGCTGGAATTTGAAAAAAAAACAAACCTGGATCTGTTGATTGTAGAGATCTACGTGGGAGAGTTGCAGCACTAGAGATGAAGAATTGAGCAGCAGAGGATTGAGTCTGTTGAAGAAGAAGAGGTGTGATATAGGAGAAGGGCAAAACGGGAAAAATTAGTTTTACCTCCTTTGACCGCCGATTCGTCCCATTTTTCACTGTTCCGAGGTAACGTTACCTCCTCCCACCTCCTCTTACCTATCTTCCATTTCACTCCAAACAAGGTAACTTCTCAATTTGACTTTACCCAACCTCCCCTACCTCCAACCAAAGATAGGGTTATTCTTTTTCTTTCTTTTGTCATTTATTAAATTTTGAGTTCTCACTTCTCATGGGTGGAAACTTTCAAATGCAAATTGAATTGAAATTGGATCAAATCTAATCTTGGGCCCAAACTCTCTTCATTTCTTCAATTGTGGTGTCAAAGCTCTAAAAGTACAGCATTGTATTTTCCTCAACTTTGAGCTCCAAAATATATTTAAAAATTGTCAAAGAAAATAATGCCTCTAAAATAATTATCAAATATAAATATGCTTAAAATCATGCATTTTATGTATAAAAAGTAAACAATGGCCTAAAATGCTAAATATGAGAAAATATGATTATTTAAGTATAAAATGCATATAAGACATCTTAAAAATTTTAAAAAATGAGGGAATAAAATATGACATTTTGTAACTCAACAGTTGGATTCTGTCCACAATCACGGATGAGGTCTCCGATCTTGTGCTTGCCAACAATCTTTCCACTCATGCTCTATGGAAGACAATCTACAATCTCTTTCACGATAATAAGCATGCACAGGCGATGCAACTAAAACATCATTTCCGCACAACCGTGAAAGGCCATCTCTCCATCAACGAATATTGTCGCCTTCTCAAGAACCTCTCCGGACGCACCGGTCACCGAACATGCCCTTGTACTCCAAGTTCTACAAGGCCTCCCCCACGACATCCGCAGTCATGTCCAATTTTTGCAATATCAAAATCCGCTCCCCACGTTCTTGGAAGTTCGATCCGCCTTGCTCCTCGTTGAACATCAGCAAACCTACACCCTCTATGGTGCCGGCACGCCGTCCACAGACCTTTTTAGTTCCAGCTGTGGCGGCAGACATGGGGGCGGCGCACATTGGCAAGATCGAGGCAACGGCTACGGTGGATCTAGGAGCGGCGGCAACTTTGGCGGAGGATCTGGCGGCGGCTATGGCGGTCGCGGCAGGCCCTCGGGCGGCGGCAGTGGCTGTGGCAACCGCGGCAGGGGCCGCGATCGAGGTCGTGGCGGCGGCGGACATCAGCGGCAACCATCGGGCCTCCCCTGGATTTTTCCCTCCCCCTCACGCGGCATCCTTGGGCCACGGCCCAAGCAGCCCAACTCCCTTGCCCAGGCCCACTTCCACAATAGCCCATATTCACACAATCCCTCCTACCTGCCCAGCCCACGGCCCATACTCTCTAAACCCAAATCTCTCCCCACAGCCTAACCCATTCACCCACTACCTAGCCCAACCCTCCCCCTACATGGTTGTAGTTTTTCGGGTAGTGAACCTTTCCAGTAAAGGGTTAGTTTTCTCTCCGAGTGTCGTGTCTCTCGAGGAGTGGACAAAGGAATTTAATTAATTTCTCGAATTAGGCGAAAGTTAGGATTGGTTTATGAAAGTCTTCTCAGTAACTAAACTAATATACAATGATTTATTGAGTAAAATAAGGGAGAAATCCGAAATGGGTTGATTGAGAGATGAATCTTAAGATTGTTCTCGAATGCAAAAAAAACTCTACGTCCTTCTCCATTTTTTTAACAACTTCCATAGTGAATGTAAATAGATCTCTAGATTTTACTCTTTAACCAAAATTATATTGTTATATTTTTTGTTCTTCGTTTTTGTTTTTTTATTTTTTTTTGTTTCAAAATTCTAATTAAATTAAAGGGTAACATTATTTTGTTTTCTAATTTTTTAAATAATATTTACATTGGTTTGTATATTTTTTAAAAAAAATATATTATTAATTTAAGTTAATCATTTATGGGAAAAAACTATAAACGGTACATAAATGTTTAATCCTATATATATATGTAAAAAAGAGTTCAATTGTTGTTGTGTTGACATGTGGCATGCCACATGTGCATCCACATGTGCACTCACTAATGATGTGGATTTATGCATTTCAATTCATTGGTCCATTTTGATTTTTCTAAAAGGTCTTTGAATGCATTTGCATAAAACTTTTTTCATTTTTTAATAATTCTATAAATATATATTTCATCATTGTAAAATATACTCCATATTATATATATAAATATATATAATTATTTTTATACTATCCACAACTTATTTTAGTTTATTACTTTTTAAAAAATGATTATATAAATTTAATCACATATGCATATATATTAATTAAATAATTTGTTTCAAAAATTTTATCTTATTACATTATTTATTCTATTCCTACAAATATTTTTTAACAAACTAAATAAAATAAAATTGCTTTCGTTGAAGGGTAACGANGAATGCATTTGCATAAAACTTTTTTCATTTTTTAATAATTCTATAAATATATATTTCATCATTGTAAAATATACTCCATATTATATATATAAATATATATAATTATTTTTATACTATCCACAACTTATTTTAGTTTATTACTTTTTAAAAAATGATTATATAAATTTAATCACATATGCATATATATTAATTAAATAATTTGTTTCAAAAATTTTATCTTATTACATTATTTATTCTATTCCTACAAATATTTTTTAACAAACTAAATAAAATAAAATTGCTTTCGTTGAAGGGTAACGACTGACGACAAGCAACATTATGACACATATACATTCTCTAATGATGTATCACTATGTAATTAATCCACTTTTTATTAAAATATTTTATTAATTTAAACTTTTTTTTATTAGTACTAAATTCAATGACCATTAATTTTGTAGAATTTTTTTATTTTTAAATAACATACCAATATATATTCAACCAATTTAAAATATATTTTGTTGCTATTAAAAAACTAAAACAACTAAAATTATATTTCTACAATCTCAGAAATTTAGAATATATACGAGCCCGTGCGAAGCACGGGGTTAACACTAGTGTATCATATTAAAAGGTAATACATTAAAAGTAGAAAAAAATTAACGAATGGAAAAATAATGCTTCTTTAACCTATACCTTATTTATTTATTGATACACATGTTTTTTAATGGGGACACATTTTTTAGTAACTTTATTTTTGAAAGTGTATTTTTTAAGATTTTTTCAATTTAAAATATAACAATTTTAATTAGTATCCATGATTTTTTTATTTAGAATAAAGGCGAGTTCAAAATATATATTCTTACCATAAGTAACTTATATTTTATAAGAGAGTATAATAATATCACATCCTCAATTTAATTATATTCCATGAAAGTTGATTTTGAATTTTTTTTGTTAGTCACAAATATGAATTTTAGCTCTTACTCAATTTCATAAAATTTCATTAAGTGTCAAAATTCTTCCATAATACTCCTTCTCTCTAGATTATAATCTTCTAATTTGATTTTATTGGTCAAATTTTGTAAATATTGATTTCTATATATGAAAAAGTAATTTTTGTTTATCTATAAATGTAATATCAATATTTTTTTTGAAACTCTGTTTTGAAATATGATTTTTTCATAAGATATGATAAGTATAAATATCGATACTAATCATTAAAAAGTTAGATTGGAGATCGTTAAAAATCAAATGAGTCCATTAAATCTACTTATAAAATGAGGAGTTTTAAAATTGTTATTTTTTTCAAGATAGGTAGCGATGAAACTCTTTCTTTTTCTTTGGCATAATATCACTAACCTAAATATAAAATTAATAATATTTATTCCGAGAAGTATATGCATAACTAATTATTTCATAAAAATGAATGACTCTGAGCCAATTTTTTATGAAAAAATATAAATATAAATCTAAGAATAGGAAGTGTTCTATACCCCCTATATGTATATACAATATGCAAAATGGTTTGTTTGAATACTTCTAAAAACATTATTAATGAGCTGTCTTGCTTTGTTTTTCTGTCAAATTTTAAATAATTCTTAAGATTAACAGCATGAAACTCTTAAAAAAATACTGTATATTGTCACTATGTTCAATCACAAAAATAAATTAAAATATTTCCTAATCACTATTCCATATATTGATTAAAATTGTAAACTCATTAAAATAATAAATAGGTGGCGAATGACTTGTTTAAAGAATGCCAAATAGACCTGCCACGTGTCAAAATTCTGTGAGACGAGTCTCAAATATTATAATAAATGATTTGCCTTAACTAATCATAGTTTAAGAGTCTCGTAATCAATATGAACTAGCCTTAAACTAGTTATAGTTTAAAATCTCGTAATCAATATGAATTAGTCTTAAACTAGTTATAGTTTAAGAGTCTCGTTATCAATATGAATTAATTTTAGACTAAGAATAGTTTAAGAATATTGTTATGATTTGGACTTAGCTTAGAATATGTTAAGAGTAATTATTTATGATCAAGTGTGATATAAAGTTATGTGTGACAAATAATGAATATTGCGATAACTAAAATGACACCGGATTGTTGTGAGCGGTGGATTGACATCTATACAAATATGAATAATAGATAATTCTGAATTGACTAGGCTCATTACCAAAATAACAAAGACATTTTTAATATGAAAAAGTAAATGTTTGAACAGATATATGTGGTTGATATTGTGAAGGAAATTATTTTGTACATTGTTTTGTTGTGTCATGGTATCACTCAGCTTCATTGTTGAGTGTGTAACTTTTTTTCATCAGTCTACACGTAGATATGAAAGAGAATAAATGCGGAGCTTATCCTGAAGAGCACTGAGATGAAAACGATGCGAGAACATGCACAAACTTATTACTTGAGTAAATGATTTCATCACATGTTAAATTATGGGTTGACCATACCATTGTAATTTACAAATCGCTTCTGCACTGTTTTGAATAATTATAATATGATGTTATTCCAAAATATTTTGCACAATTATTTTAAATTAAATTTTAAATATTTTAAATTGTGATGTTATCGAATCAATACTTCAGTCCGAAAGAGACTATAGACTTGGATGGTTTAGACTGCTACATAATATAGTAATCATCACAATTTTTGAAGAGCTGGGGCTAAATAGCTCAAAAAACTGACTTTGTCCCAAAAAAAGACTCATTATTTTTTTCGAAACGTCTCAAAAAAGACTTCTTTTTATTTATGGCAACATTTCATCTATTTTAAATAAATTTTGTGTCAAATTCAATTGGAAGGTTTTTTTTGGAGGAGGTAGTATTTTTTTTGGGAGAGGGATTACAAAAAATCACTCCCGGGTACCTTCTATTTTCGGAATATAACTGCCAGGTCCCATTAAATTTAGAAATGTACTGCGGGGTCCCTCTTGTTATCTAGTAATTGACTCGGTGGATACAATCCGTCAAACCCACCGTTAGTGGCTGCGAAATGTCTGTTATACCCCTATTATTTTTCCAAAAAAGGTATAAACGTACGTCTGACTTTATCTGACTTCATCGTCTTCCTCCTTGAGCTTCCAGAAAAGGAAAAATCGAAGACCTGCAAAGAATGGTAATTATAGCCTGAACCATTGGAATTTATAAAGTCAATTTTCTTTGTCAATTTTCTTCTTCAATTTTCTTCTTCATCTTCTGTTGACTCGAATTTACTAGACATGAAACGAAGCTGTTGATAGTTTGAATTTGTTTATATTATGCGATTTACTGGACATAAAACTGAGTATGAAGACTAAGGAATTCCAAAGGTTTATGCCAGTTTAATGTTTTGTTTTCTATTGAATACTGGGTGTATACTATTGCTTATTTTAATCTTCAATTTTAAAAATTTCAGCCTCCTACTGGATTTAGAGTATATGTCAAACACAAATGGATTGACATAGAAGACATTGATTTGGATATCTACTTCACCAAGGATTTGTATGCTGATGTAATTTCCAGAGCTAAAGAGCAGAATATAATTCTCCCTAGGTTCATTGGATTTAGATATCATTTACCAGACAAAGAACTTCATAGGGAGCAACTAATGGTTGATTCAGATTGGAATAGAATGGTTGCTGAATGGGGTGGGGTTTGTTGTACTTACATCCCCTTATTTGTGATTGAGTTGAAGGAGCCTAGTGCACTACAAAAAATGGCAGAGGGTCTTGATTCCAGTACCCAAGATTATAATGAGGCTTGTATGACTGAAATTGAGCAGTGGGCTGATAATCTACTTGTGACTCCAACAGAATGTGGTAGCATTCTTGATAGCCAACCAAGGAGTTGTAGCAAAGCCAAGTTAATAGTGAGAAGGCAGAACAAGAATATGAGAGATGAAGTGCAAACCCAACCGTCTTTGATTGAAGCTGAAGAATTACATAGTCTCACTCCACCAGCACCTAATACCTCTCATCCCTTAGGTGATTTCCTTACAAACTCCTCTACACAACACTCTCCCACCATTGCAGAGGAGGTTGATAATCATAGGACACCTAAGAAGAAGAAAAGGAAGGCTCAGGAGGGAGGAAGAAAACAGTTTGAGCTTACTGAATTGAATGTGAAATTGTTGAGCAAGGAATTGAAAGGCTTAGAAGCTTATGACATACCAAGTTTGAGCAAACCTGAAATTCCTACCCTAGATATATTTTTTGAAGAGGTTGTGCTTCCTTCACAAGCTGAAATACAAAGTGGACAGGTTGATACTGATGAAGAAAATGAGTCCACTGAAGATGATGACTTTGATGGGGTGAAGACTCCACTGAATGTTTAAGCAGTGAGGAACTTTCCATGGATGAAAAATCAGCAACAGATGATGAAATAGATGTTGAAGCTGACACTGCCAATAGAATGAGATTGGACCACATGGATGAAGATGAAGATGACTATGGTAATCAGTCAGTTGTTGAAAAAATGGCCAAGGTCTTTCGCACTGGTAGGCTTTGGGTAAGAAGTAGGGATGGAAAGGTTGAGTTAAAGGTTGGAGACATTTTTAGTTGCAAAGAGGATTTTCTTAGAGTCATGAAGGACTATACTATTCAGAAAGGAATAACTCTTAGAAAACTCAAGAATGACAAAAGAAGATACACTCATACTTGTATAAATGAGAACTGCAAGTTTAGGATACATGCTTCTGTTCTGGTTGATAGGCACTCTTGGATGATAAAGACCTTGTGTGAGGAGCATGTTTGTTCTGTGAAAGAGCACCATAAGAGGGCATGAGCTTCTTGGGTTGCTAGCCATTTTCTTGAAGACTTCAGAAGTAATAAGGAGATGAAGGCAAGCACTCTGCAGAAGTTGGTTTTGTCTAAGTTCACCACTTACATACCTAAATACACTTGTTGGAGAGCAATTAAGTTGATGAGGGAAATAGTTGATGGTAGGCATGAGGATGGATACAAGCTCTTACCACAGTATATGGAGGTTTTTAGAGCCAGAAATTCAGATTCTCAATGCTTCATCAGGTGGCAAGAGATAGGACCTGGAAGAAACCCTATTTTTAGAAGATGTCAGATATGTCTTGGTTCAGCCATCAATGCGTTTAAAGACCACTGTAGGCCATTCATTGGTATTGATGCATGCCATTTAAAGGGCCCATACCAGGGAGTGTTACTAACTGCTATGGCATTAGATGGCAATAATGGCCAATTTCCCTTAGCATATGGTGTTGCAGATTGTGAGGATGAAACTGAGTGGTCATTTTTCTTGAATAGTTTAGCTCTGGCTTTAGGTTGCACTAAAGATGCTTCTAAGTATACTATAATTTCAGATAGGCATGCGGTATAAACAAAAATTTTACTTACAGTTGAGATTATCCATTGCTTTATAATATGTGTTTTAACTTATTATTCTTCAACATCTTACAGGGTATAATACAAGGCCTGAAGAATGCTATTCCAAAAGCTTCAAGAAGAATTTGTGTTCTTCATTTTTACAAGAACTTTGCCAAAACATTCACAGGTATACTGCTGTTACTATACTCTTATAACTGCCCCTTATTTTCATGGCTTACTGTAATGGAGGTTATTATGCCTGGTGCTTGGTTCCATTCATATTTCTACATAGTTGCAAATACTTACTCTGAGTATGTCTTCATTAAAGCAATGAATAAGATAAAAGAAGAAGATAATGAAGCATATGAATGGCTTATGAATAATGAGGCACATGAGCATTGGGCTAGACATAAGTTTGATCCAACATTAAAGTGTGGAGATAACACCAACAACTTTGTGGAATCATTTAACAAAGCGATTTTAGGACATAGAGGCAAGCCCATGTTGACCATGCTGGAGGAGATTAGAAAGCTTGTTGGAAACAGATTTGAAAAAAGGTTTGAATTGGGAAGGAAATGGTCCACTGTAGTCACCCCCTTTGTAGATAAAAAACTTAGGGAGCTAGCAATGGACTCAAGAGTGTGCTCAGAGGTTGTGGCTGCTGGTAGAGGGGAGTTTGATGTACTTGATGGGTGCACAAATTTCACAGTGAGGTTACGAGAGCATAATTGTGACTGTAACAGATGGCAAGTGACAGGTCTACCTTGTAAACATGCTGCAAGATGCATTCTTAGGCTGAATGAGAAGTTAGAGGACTATTGTGCACACTGGTTTTCAGTTGAGAAGTACAAGGGGTTGCATGATGCTATTATACACCCTATCCCAGATCCTTGCATGTGGGGAGAGACATCAGAACCCAATCTTGACCCTCCAAAAAACCTAAAGAAAAAGGGAAGACCTAAAAAGCACAAGAGAAGAGATGGGATTGATGACAGGGTCATTAAGCAGAAGAGGACGGTTCATGGAACAAAACGTTGTGGGAAGTGCAAACAGCTAGGTCATAACCATAGGACTTGTGGTCAAAAGAGGGATGAAGATGGCAGATTGGTGTAGAAACAGACAAAAAAGAAGAAACTGGCCAAGAGTGATTAGGAATGCAGAGATTTTGGGCTGTGTTTGAAGACATGTAGTTCATTCACTGTAAAATGGTTTTTGTCATTTTGATGCTCATCACAGCACAAACACTTAGTTTTTGTAACATTTGGTTTCTGTTACAGTTTTTGAGATTAGCAATGCCAAGAACCTGTTTCAGCTTATGTTTGTAACAGATTTGGATGTATTTTTGGTGTTGCAAATTTTGATATGTTTTGATTCCAAAGTCTGTAACAGTTCTGAATTGTGTTGGCTTTGGTTTTTGGTTTTTTTGGATTCTAAAATGTGTTGCCTCACTGTGAATAACAGTTCCTGATTCATACCCAAGTGCTTTGTTTTGGTCACTTTGTTGTGGCATTCACATTTGTAAGCAAATAGAATATGGCAGATGCATTCTATTGAATCAATCCAGCAAAAGTTGGCTTTCATTACAAATAAAAACCATAAACTACATCATACAAGTGCCACAGCCAATACAGAGACAAAGGTTGAAATTCTATTCATAGCCAAAGTCTTGTTTTCTAAAGTTTACATAAACAACACAAGGAAAAGATAATGGATGACAAGTCCTACACCCAAACCAAACATAAAAGGGATGACATTCATCTTTTTCTTCTGTTTATTACGATTCTTTAGCTGCTCCATCTCTCTGTCTTTCTCATTGATCTTGTCTAGAAGCCCGGGAATGATCTTCTTAGCACGATCGCATATTTCAGGGTCAATCTAATCCCAGCTCTTACATTTACGTGTTCCCTAATCAACACAAACTTACATTAATCACATGAAACAAATAAAGCAACACTAAAATGTAAAACAAATAATTATACTTCACCGACATTTCCGGCACACGTCCAGAATCTTCTACCAGGATTACTTTTGGTCCACGATGTTAGCATTTTCATGTCCTTGCCACACCTACAAGTAGGGACTTCAAAACATTCACCATATTGACAAACTCTTTTTGAGGACGTGACCGAGCAGCTTCCAAAACTATACCAAAAAAAACCAACAATTCTTTAGCATATTTGTCAAAATGTAAGGAAACATGTTGTGGATATGTAGGTTTGGGTACATGTCGGGTTGGTTCGGGGATATGTCATGTCCGGTTCATGTCGGGGCGGTTTAAGTACATGTCGGGACGGTCAAATATACTAAACGAACGCCAACCCGACAAAAATCAGGTTCGGTCGGGGCGGTTTGGGTATGTCGGGTTAGTTCGGGGTGATGTCGTGTCAGGTTAGTTCGGGGAGATGTCATGT